GATTGACCAGTCACCTCTGATAATAGCAAAAGATTATTTCTTATCTAGAACATCAGAAAAAGCTGTTTTGTACTTTATCAAGGTCTTGCCTTTAACTTTTGTTGTTCATTATGGTAGCCACCAACACTTGTGGTTATTAAATTTTAATTTAGGTTAATTTAGTTAAAAATTCATTTCCTCAGTCACACTAGCCATATTACAAAGGCTTAATAGGGCTACTGTTTACCAAATTGGGCAGTGTAGATATAGAACATTTCTGTCACCATAAGAAGTTCTATTAGACAGGGCTATCTTAAAATCTTGAAGGATTTTTTTAATGTCTGCCACAGCTAATTGGATAGTTTCTCCTAGAAACATTTAAAAATTCATCATTAATTTGAATGTTTTATAAATGAAGGGTTTCCCCCCTAAAATATAACTTATAATGTGGAAATATTGTAAATTGATCTCATAATTCTCATTCGGAGAAAAGAAAGCTGTTGTTTTATATTCAGTTTACAAATGAACACTAACATTTACATATCATATTCTTCTTTCCAAATTTCTGACTCTGTGGGCTTCATATTCATGTAATAAATAGCTATTGAGATCCTGCTACATGTCAAGCTTATATGTTTGGCCTACAACTGGTCTTTCCCCCCACCCAGCTTTATTAAGATATAATTGACATTATGTATGTTTAAGATATACACCTTGATGATTTGATATACTTAATTACAAAATTGGAGAAAGGAACAGCAACCCACTGCAGTATTCTTGCCTGGAGAATTCCAGAGGAACCTGGCGGGCTACCGACTATGGCGTTACAGTGAGTTGGACATGACTGAGCAACTAACACACACATGCACGTGTTAGAAAGTGGTGCCCACGGTAGGGTTAGTTAACACCTCCGTCCCCTCAGTTGATCACCATTTCTTTTTTGTGGTGAGAACATTTAAGATCTACTTCCTTAGCAGCTTTCAACTACATGATAGAGTAGTGTTAGCTATCGTCACCATGCTGTACGTTAGACCGTAGCAGTTGCTCATCTTGTAACTGGAAGATGAGTTTCCCCCTCTCTCCAGCCCCTGGCCACCACCATTTTTTTCTGTTTCCATGAGTTTTGAGTTTTTAATTAGTTTATTTATTTAGTTAGTTTTTGACTGCACTGGGTCTCTGTTGTGGCATGCGGGCTTTCTCTGGTTGTGGCGAACGGGGGCTACTCTTCGTTGCCGTGTACGGGCTTCTCGTTGTGGTGGCTTCCCTTGTGGCAGGGCTTGGTCTCTATTCCACATGCAAGCTATACGGTATTTGTCCTTCTCTGTATAACTTATTTCACTTAGCATAATGCCCTCAGGGTACACCTGTGTTGTCACAAATACCAGGATTTCCTTGTCTAAAGCTAACTGCCTAAGTCAGTATTTTCCAAGGGTTCCCAGACCATGGCCAAGAAAGGCTGAAGCTGGTTGACAAGTTACTTCAGGGTTCACAGCTGGGACCAAGATCCTTTTGTCTTTTACCCAATGCACAGGCATTCAAAACCCTTACCTGGTCCCTTGACGTATGTTTGTAGATCCCACTGCCCCCAGAAAAGCACTTTTGTCTGTGGATGGAGGCCAAATTGTTGTTAGGGGTGGGGAATAGTGGATACCAATGAGGGGCATATTATTTGGCCATCTTGCTGACATCACTCTCCACGTATAGCTGGTCATGGTTGAGTGATTTTCCAAAAAAATCAGATTATAGAAAATTCAATTGTTAGACTGTGAAAATATTCTGGTATGGCTCAGTTTGCTTCAATTTTCCTTCATTTATATTAATATAAGCAAGATTATGCCTAAATACTGGTGAAAAGCTACAGAAGCTATTATCAGAGCCCTATATTCTTCTAAAGCATCACCGTCAGTAAGTGTAAATACATAGTGGTAAGCATGTCTTAAATTATTACATATTTTACATCAGATACATTTAAGTTATTTAGATCAGATACATTTAGGCTCATATTTTTCAACACAGGAATATGATTTCATTTCTTTTGTGAGTTTCAAAGCCATGTAAAAAGAACTATATTCCAAGTTCCTTTAAATGCTAAATTCTCTAGACTGGTTTTTTCCTTCCTCTTTGTCCTAAGATTTTCAAGCAAGGGGTGATAGAGCTCAGCCAGCAGGGGGGAGGTTGCAGAATTCTTTACTATAACTGCTGCTGTGTTATGCTCAATCATGTCCAACTGTTTGCAACCCTGTGGACTGTAGCCCGCCAGGCTTCTCTGTCCATGGGATTCCCCAGGCAAGAATGCCGAGTAGCTTGCCATTTCCTTCTTCAGGGGATCTTCTTAACCCAGTAATAGAACCAGAGTCTCTTGCATCTCCTACGTTGGCAGGTAGAATCTTTACCTCTAGCGCCACCCGGGGAAGCCCCAGTTATTACAAGAGTGGATCCCAAAGTGTGCTACACTTTGAAATCATCCATGGATGTTTCAAAAATATGGCCACCTACCTCCTACCCATCTCCCACCCACCTCCCAACCTGATTTAATTGGTCTCAGGTGTGATTTTGGCTCTGGGGATTTTTAGCTCTCCTGGTGATTCTAATGCGCAGCAAAGTTTGAGAACCACTGCAGTGTAGAATCACCAGGGAAGCCTTTTAAAATATACACGTTGGCCCTTCACTCAAAAGTTTGACTTTGGCTTTGAATCAGCAAGTCTGGGGTAGAACACAGCCAACTGTAATTTTGAAGTGCCAAAGGTGTTTCTGAAGTGTAGCTGGAATCAAGAACCACTGCTATATAAGAATAATTGTCCCCTCTCTTTCTCTTCCCACATGTCCCCTACATCTTTGATACATGGGGGGAATCACAAGAGCATATCTACCAAATCAGATCAAAAGTCCCTAGAAAAAGGCTCTCAGGTTAATACTGGTTCTTCCCCTTTTTGAAATAATAGTGCACCCTAGGGGTGGAAACATAGATTGCTCCAGCTTTTGAAGAAGACAGAGCAGAGTCTCAGTATACAGGAAATGTAAGGAATTGATTTCTCAGGCCAGTGGTCTCCAGGCTTTACTTAATCATGCATCAGTAAAGCGGGGGGACTTACCTGGTGGTCCAGTGGCTAAGACTCTGTACTCCCAATGCAGGAGGCCCAGGTTCGATCCCTGCTCAGGGAGCTGGATGCCACATTGCCACAAACAACTGAAGATCCCAAGTGCCACAACCAAGACCTGGTACAGCCAAGTAAATAAATATATTTTTAAAAAATATAGTGTGGGGGATAACAATCTGGACATATGCATATTTTTATAGTTATCTACATGCACTTCTGTACTTTCATACATTATAAAATTTACATAAAGACAGACTCTTTAAAGGATGGGTAAGATGAAATAAACACTATATACGTAAATTTTAATAGAAAAAGCTTTTGGTCACTTCAGAATTAATAATAATACATTGTTTAATGGGAATAGTGTGTTTGAATATGGAGTATTGATGAGCCTGCCATCATTTTGTTTGGTGTGGTAGCTGACAAAGGGCTCATGAAGAAGTGTCAACTCTACTATCTTCTTAGCATTCACTCATGCTTTCGTTATTAGACTTCTGTTTACCTTCTCAGATGAATCTTTTGAAGACTTTTTTTTTGTCTGCGCTGGGTCTCCTTTGGTGCGTGTGGACTTTCTCCAGTGGGGCCAGCAGGGGCTGCTCTCTAGGTGTGGTGCAAAGGCTTCTCATTGCGGTGGCTTCTCTCATTGCAGAGCACGCGCTCTAGGTGTGTGGGCTCAGTAGTTGTGGCAAGTGGGCTTAGCCGCCCTGCAGCCTGCAGAATCTTCCCTGACCAGGGATCAAACCCGGGTCACTGGATTGGCAGGCAGATGCTTAACCACTAAACCACCAGGGAAGCCCTTGTTAATTCTGTAGATCTGTTTTCATTAAAACTGGCTAATGAAACCCATAAATCCATTTTGAAAGGCAGGTATAAACTAAAGTGTGCTGTAATACTACACTGAGGGCAGACTAACAAGTAAGGACACCGTTAAACCCCTTTTGATTGGGGAAATCAGACATTATGACATATTAGACATATATCAGACAATATATCTGACATATTCCAGGGCCAACCTATTTGATAAATATGAATAGAGCCTAATTTCTTGTTTTAAAATGAGTATAGTGAGTATGGATAGATCTAGTATGCCTTTCCACGCTGTGGAGGATCATCTTGCTACCCCTGGGATGTTTATACCCTGCTTTGAAGACCATTACTCCAGATTGCTACATAAAAAACCTTTTATTGCACAGTTCTTATAAATCACTGTAATTGAATAAAGATTGGAGAATGAAATATGAATTCTAATAGGACTTCCAGTCTCTTACCTTGGCCCTTATGTCAGCCTCTGAATTGGATTATTAAACTGTCCTCTATTTTTAAGGTGGAGAAATTAATACTTCAGGGGACTTCTGACACTTCTAAGGCATTTTCAGTTTGACCTTTGAGCTCTAAGATTAGATTTCTGTTTTTTTCTTCTAATCTGAAGCATGGAGTTTCTATTGCAAAAGAGTTGTTTCAGAAACCTTAGATTTACTAGCCAAGATTGATAATGTGTTCTAGATGAAACTTTAGCTGATAAGATACAGATTTAAACATAGCTGTGCTGTGCTGTACTTAGTCATGTCCAACTCTTGGAGACCCCATGGACTGAACCCCGCCAGGCTCCTCTGCCTGCGGGGATTCTCCAGGCAAGAATACTGGAGTGGGTTGCCATGCCCTTCTCCAAGGGATCTTCCTGACCCAGGGATCAAACCCAAATCTCCCGCATTGCAAGCAGATTCTTTACCATCTGATCCACCAGGGAAGCCTAAGAATACTGGAGTGGATAATCTATCCCTTCTCTGGGGGATCTTCCCAACCCAGGGATCGAACCGGGGTCTCTTGCATTACAGGCAGATTCTTTACCAGCTGAGTTACCAGGGAAGCCCAAACATAGCTGTAGCTTATCCCAATTACACCTGGTGTTTGTTTGTTTTCTAGCTCTCTTCACAGAAGTCAGTGCCATGGATACCCATGCTGAAATCACTGCCACTTTGGTCTATTGTAGTTGCACATTTTTCTTACAACTGGACTTTTTATACTTTATTGACCTTATTGCCTACTTACATGAAGGAAGTCCTAAGGTTCAACATTCAAGAGGTAAGAAAAAATAAGCATCTACTTCTTATAGAGAATATACAGAATTTGTTCCTGTCTATGTGAAACTCAGTTATTTTGCATCTTCCGTTTTACTCTGGTATACTAAATTCTAGAGACTTCTCTTTTTAGCTTTGCTTGTTCCTTTCCTCTGTGTGTGTTAACTTTTGATTCAGGGTGTCGTGGCTAGTATCCCCTTTAACTGTGAAGGTCTTACTAGTGCCCAGTAACATGCCAGGATCTCAGGTGACAAATACAGGTGTGTGTGTGTGTGTGTGTGTGTGTGTGTGTGTGTGTGTGTGTGTATGTTAGTCACTCCGTCGTGTCTGACTCTTTATGACCCCATGGACTGTAGCCTACCAGGCTCCTCTGTCCATGGAATTCTCCAGGTAAGAATACTGGAGTGGGTAGCCATTCCCTTCTCCAGGGGATCTTCCTGACCCAGGGATCAAACCCTGGTCTCCTGCGTTGCAGGCAGATTCTTTACCATCTGAGTCGCCAGGGTAGCCCTGCAGGTGATACTGTATTCGCTTCTAAAAGGGGTGGTGGCAGGAGTCTGCTGGCAGCCGCGTGGGGTGTTGGAAGACACAAGATTATTGCACAGAGGTTGCTTTATAATGCTCTCCAGGCATTGGCAGAGCTATAGTTGTACAGCTGTCTAAGTCAGACCTCCCGAAAACTGTCAGTTCCTCCTGATCTCATCAAATGGAGACAATTCCTATTATCTCTGTGTTGATGGATTTTGTCTCTAAAGAAATTGAAGAAAAACATAAAGAGAAAGAGGCAGAGTTTGTAAGAAAACTTGGTAGTGTTTTTTGTCTTCATATGAAGAATGAATCAAAGGCATAAATGTTAGGAGATAAAATGATAAAACTCTTAGAAATGTACATCTTTGTGACCTGGCACTGGACAACAGCTTCCCACATATGACCCCAAAAGCACATATGACCAAAAGAAAAAACTGATAAGTTGGGCTTCATCAGAATTGAAAGCTATTTTGCCTCAAAGGATATTATCAAGAATGAAAGCCCACTGAATGGGAGAAAATATTTGCAAATCATATATTTGATAAGGATTAAGTATTCCAAATATGTAAAGAATTTATACAATTCAATAATAAAAAGATAAGTAACCCAATTTTTTAAATGGGCAAAGGATTTAAATAGACATTTCTCCAAAGAAAATACACAAATGACCAATAAACCCATGTAAAGATGCTCAACACTATTACTCAATACAGAAATGGAATTCAAAACCATAATGAGACACCACTTCATGCCTATTAGAATCAAAAAAATACAATAAAATAAAACAGAAAATAACAAGTGTTGGTGAGGATGCAGAGGAAACAGATCCCTCATACATTGCCGGTAGGATGTGAAGTGTAGCTGCCATGGAAAACAGTTTGGCAATTCATCTGAAAGTTAACGTAAAGTTACTATGACCCACTAATTCCATTCCTGAGTCTATACCTAAGAGAACTGAAAACATATGTGCACGCAAAAACATGTACATGTACACAAAAGCTTATAACATCATTATTCATAATAACCAAGAGGTAGAAACAACCTAAATGGTATCAGCTGATGAACAGATAAATAAAATATGGTATATTCCCCCATCCCCCCAATAACTGTTACTGAGCCAGAGGGGAAGCCCTGGAAGAAAAAGCAGCAGCCTGGGTGGTGAATGTAAAGACAGTAAGGCTGAGGGCACAACTGCAGGGGTTACATGGACCTAACGCTATCAACACTGTTCAAGTGAAACTTTCAGTCACCTCACTTCCAAAGCATACTGAAAACGCTGGCCACGTGGACCAAACCTTAGACTTCACCTAGACGGCTAAGCTGTGAAGAACTCTCCCAGCTACTTTGGAAAAACAAAATCCATTATACTGAAATATATCCACCAATTGCATTAACAAAAGTTAAACTGAACTGAGACTTTACCCATAGCTTGGGATGGATTTGTTGCAAGCAACCTCATTTTTCCTAAGCTCTCTGTTAACAGAGCTTGACTGTAGTCTCCTACCGTAGTGACAAATTGCATGCAAATTTAAGGATCAAGCCACTTGATGCTGCTTTTTTGAAATTTTCCCAGGAGAACTATAAAAAGAATGCAGTATCAATAGTTGACTGGTAATTAGTATATGTACTCAATTGCCTTCATTTATTTTTCATTAATATTTTTTTAGTTCTGTACTGAGAGACTTTAGAATCTTAAAAAAAAAATAGAATCTTTTTTCTTGGCATTTTCATACCAAAACAAACAAAAAAAAGGTATTTTCTTTTTGAATCAAAATTAAAAGAAATGTGAATAGAGTTTGAAAATAATTCTCTTGTTATATAGAGCCTCTTTTTTAATGGCTTTTTCCTTGAAAAATCAGCATACTACATTCATGAAACAGCCTTTGTTCAAAATAAAGCTTGATTTGAGATGCATTGTATTTAAAATTATAATCTCATTAATTAAAAAATTTAAAGATCTGATCATTTGCTTTATTATATAAGTTTAGTTTTGTTAGTTATAATCACTTGTACTTTTTCCTCATTTTTTCCTAATGTCCCTATTTCTTACAACTCAGTGAGGTTGAAGCAGTATCTGTTAGCCTATTTTGAATATTGCCATTTTGGAATCAATTTTTAAAATAAATGAATACAAGGAACTATATCCTTGAACAGAATGTTTAATAACTATGGAAGACAGCCACGGACGTATATATGTGGTATAAATGTTGAAGATTTTAGCAGTTTTAGGTTGTCCAGGGAGTTTTTACCACTGGAATTTGAAGTGGAAAAATTCAGTAACTAGTGATTGTTGGTCTTAGCCCAGCAAAGGACAAGGCCAAGATCAGAAAATTCTCTTTTCTATTTGCTACAGTTCATTCATGTGTAAGGTTCTGCCACAAACAACAATAGATGTGGTCCCACTCTGCAGAATTCTTTTTGTTTTTGGTATCTCTTATTTAATTAATTAATGTATTTATTTGACTGAACTGGGTCTTAGTTGCAGCATGTGAACTGTTAGTTGTGGCCTGTGGGATCTAGTTCCCTGACCAGTGATTGAACCCTGGGCCCCTTGCATTGGGAGCTGGAGTCTTAGCCACTGGACCACCAAGGAAGTCCCCCACTATGCAGAATTCTAAATGGAAGAAATTTAAAGAGGAAATTACTCAATACCAGAAAAAAGCAAAAATACTCAGCCGTGGAAGTGGAACTGGAAGCATGCAACATCTGAAAATAGATCACAGACTGTGGGAAAATTTCAGTTTTTTCTTAAGCACACTTAAATTTAAAATATTAACAAATTTTGCTGATCTATTCCATTAATAATGCTTAGATAGAATTATTACCAGATTTATTAGATAGAATGTATTTATTAGATAGATGGGATTTTTTTATTAGACAAATAGACTTTATTTATTAGATAAAATTATTACCAGGATGGGGTGGACATATATACCTATGGTCGATTCATGTTGAACCATCACAATATTGTAATTATCCTCCACTTAAAATAAATTAATTTTTTTAAAAATAAAAGATATTTCTCAAAAGCTTAAAGAGAGTTAATAGTAATAATAAAATCAACAACTGCAGCAACAGAGAAAAAAGAAACAAAAATCCAGAACCAACTACAGAACAAATCAAAATACAAGAAGAAGAATAATTGTTTTTCCAGGAAAAACAATTATTATTACCAGATTTTAATATCAATGATAAAATATCTTTCTGCCCTTTTGGTGTTTGTAAATCTCTAACAGGTGTACCCATCTCTCTCAGACTAAAAAGTTTTCTTTTTTTAACTTTTTACTTTGTATTGGGGTATAACCAGGTAACAGGCAATCTTGTGATAGTTGCAGATGAACAGCAAAGGAATTCAGCCAAACATACATGTATCTGTTCTCCCACAAACTTCCCTTCTATCCTGACTGCCACATAACGCTGAGCAGAGTTCCCTGTGCTGTCCTTGTTGGTTGTCCATTTTAACTACAGCAGCATGTACACGGCCATCCCAAACTCCCCAACTGTCCCTTACACCCACCTTCCCCTCCCCCAGCAACCGTAAGTTCATTCTCTAAGTTTGTGTCTGTTTCTGAAAAACCTTTGTTTTTATCAGAATTGGATCATTTAGGCTTGGCACCTCAGGTTGTGCTTAAAGGAAAAATGAACAGAAGAAAGACATATTTTTTTTTGAGTAGTATGCTTTCTTCATTTTACAGAATGGGTGATTTCCTGAAAAGCAGTCCCATCAAAACGAGTAACACATTTCCATGAGACATTCTGTTTCATATCTCATGGTTTTTTCGTTTTGTTTAGGAAGTGTTGTAAAGGAAGACGGGAAAAAATCGAGCTCTCTCTGTCACCCACCACCTTTGTCCTCTGCTCGAAGCATGTGCGAGTGCTCCAGGCACTGTTTTTTTAAAACTGCATCTTCTTTATGTTGCGTACTTTAATTTCAGAACAAAATAAACAAAAAACCCAACATTCAAACCCCATGTCAGACGGGGAAAGGAATAGAGCTTGAGGCCCTTGTGTCCTGCCTTAGACAGGACAGAAATCAAACCACTGGACATCAGCAGAGGGAGCTGGTGGGTCAGGGCCACTGGGGCCACTGCCAGGGGAGCCACGGAGACCCGATACAGAGGGGACAAAGTATGATGAGAAACCCCTCATCTGCTTCTTCCATGCATCCTCGTCGCCCTGGACGGGGGCGGGGGGCGGGGGTGGGGGGCACCGGCAGCCCTGGGCTCCTCTTGGGTTACTGCACCTTCATCAGTGCCCGGCACTGATGCAGTTGGAGTAGGTCTGGGCATCCTCAAGCAAGAAGCCGGAAGAGAGCAGTTTCTAACAGCATCTGGATGGTGCTCACTTTAAAATAATTCATTAAGCTGTACATTTGACTTATGTGATTTTCTCTGAATTTTATTTTATAATTAAAAAATGTTTTCAAAATAAATAAATTAAGACTGTCCCACGGGAGAAAGCCCTAGGCTAATAGGAAGACATCCTCTCTCACTGAAGCTAGAGCCCAAATCCCAAAAAAGCATTCAAGATCACCCTAAGCAGACTAGACTAAGGGGAGTCTAGTTCTAGACTCTGGTTCCCTGTGAGACAGGCTCTCTGGGACTGCATTGAGCTGAATCCCATAATCCTAAAAACCAAACTTATTTACTACATTATATAAAAATTAGTAGAATACTGCTATGTGTTTGCTTTCATGTGGTGGTAGGGGTATGTGTGTATGTGTGTGTGTATGTGTTATTTTGGTTCTTCTTCCCTCCATAATTAATCCTGGATCTTCTTATTCCTTCCAGAATGGGTTTTTATCTGCAGTCCCTTATTTAGGCTGTTGGTTATGTATGATCCTATCTGGTCAAGCTGCTGACAATTTAAGGGCAAGGTGGAATTTTTCAACTCTATGGGTTCGAAGAGTTTTTAGCCTTATAGGTAGGTAAAAATGAATCATGTTGTTTTGGTTTACAATTATTTACTGTGTTTATGTTGAAAGGCAAAGTAAAAGTGATAATATTAGTTATTTGTTCACATATCAAAACAATATATTTTAATGCATGTAGTACATGTCTGTATAAGATGGTTCTTTTTGAATGATGCATTTTGAGGATTAAGATTTATAATATCCTGTTATCTCTACCATACTCTTACAACTATAAAAAAAATGGCTTGCTTTGCTGAATATCTTCCCCAGAATTTTTATAAATCATTTTGTTTGTTTTCAACTCTAAGTTTGCAATGAAAATAAGAAAGTCTCCATCCCTTTTCTATTTTAAATTTCAATCAAAAATATATATTAGCATCATTATAGCAAATGAGGACCCATAAATCAAAGAACTCAATGGAACCTTAAGTAATCGTATGTTTCAGACTCTGATTTCAGAAAAGTGAATTTTAAAACGATGTAGAACAACTAATAAGTTCCTTGGTTGCAGTATCGACAAATACAACATTTCCATCATCACAGAGAGTTTCTGGATGGCCCTGCTATAGGCTCGGGAAACACAGCAGCTGCTCATTACATCCCTTCCTATATTACTTTTATGTTACGCTTAACTGCCTGTAATAATCTCCACATACCACTTTGAGCTGTCAAAACCTAGATGGAGTATTTTCCTAACCTTATCTAACAGAGTTTATTGTTTAGTTTACCTTCTTTGGTTATGTGAATTTTGAATCATATTCTGTATCAACTGTTGCCTCTCTCTGGAACCATATGTTTTAGTCATTCTGTTGCTCTTTTCTCAAACATTGTAGAACTTTAGCTGAGTCCTGGTCATGTGTAAATTTAATAACATTGCATAAAGAGGTTTTTAAACTTTTATTATAGTTGCATTAATCCTATATATTTTCCAGCACTTTTTATTTCAGTTCAATTCAATTCAGTCCCTCAGTCCAGTCGTGTCTGACTCTTTGCAGCCCCATGAACTGCAGCACGCCAGGCCTCCCTGTCCATCACCAACTCCCAGAGCTTGCTCTAACTCATGTCCATTGAGTCGGTGATGCCATCCAACCATCTCCTCCTCTGTTGTCCCCTTCTCCTCCTGCCTTCAATCGTTCCCAGCATCAGGGTCTTTTCAAATGAGTTGATTCTTTGCATCAGGTGGCCAAAGTGTTGGAGTTTCAGCTTCAGCATCAGTCCTTCCAATGAATATTCAGGGCTGATTTCCTTTGTTTATGAAACTATAATTGAAGCTGAGTCTTCCAGGCAGTACAATGTTTTTACAGTAGGTGGCAGTAATATCAAATTAAAGAGTAAGCAAATACTAATGCTGGGGCTTCTTTTTTTCTTTCTATAACGTTTTAACTCCAGGGATGATTGGACCTGCAGTATTCCTGGTTGCCGCAGGATTTATAGGCTGCGATTATTCCTTGGCTGTTGCATTCCTAACCATATCAACAACACTGGGAGGCTTTTGCTCTTCTGGATTTAGCATCAACCATCTGGACATTGCTCCTTCGTGAGTACTGATTTAAGATTGGTTCAGATTAGCTTCAAGTTATTATTTAAATTACTAATCATTATTTAATCATTACTAATCATTAATTGTAGTGAATAATGCATAAAATAAACTTTACTATTGATACCATTTTTTAAATATTTTAGAAGTTCTAATGTATTTTTATTTATTTATTTATTTTTGAACTTTTAGTTTTGTGCTGGGATACAGCTAATTAAAAGTCATGAAAGTTTCAGGCGAACAGCAAACGGACTCAGCCAAACATATACATGTATCCATTCTCCCCCAACCCCCCTCCTACCCAGGCTTCCAAATAACATTGAACAGAGTTCCTTGTGCTACAGAGTAGGTCCTTTTTGGTTATCCATTTTAAATATGGCAGAGTGTACATATCCATCCCAAATTTCCTAATTATCCCTTCATTAAGTACATCCATTCACATTGTTGTGCAACCATCAACATGATCCACTCAAGAACTCTTTTTTTTTTTCTTATTTTTTAAAAATACTTATTTCCTTTCTTAGTCATGCTGATTCTTCATTGCTGCTCAGGCTTTGTTCTAGTTGAGGAGAGCAAGTTCTGCGCTCTAGTTGCAGTGTGCTGGCTTCTCGTTGCGTTGGCTTCACTTGTGGATCAAGGGCGTTAGGGTACGGGCTGGCTCAGGAGTTGTGCACACGGGCTCAACTGCCCCAAGGCACATGGGTCCTCCTGGACCAGGAATCGAACCCATGTCTCCTGCACTGGCAGGCAGATTCTTTACCACAGAACCACCAGGGAAGCGCGTTCCAGAACTCTTTTTTTTTATCTTCCCAAGCTGAAACCCTGGACCCATTAAACACTAACTCCCATTCTTCCTCCCTCACCCCTACCCCCTGGCAACTGCCCTTCTATTATTTTCTTGTGTCTATGAATTTGACTGCCCTAAGACTGACTTAAATCCTTAAAGGAGGTTTCAGTTTACATAATAATTAAAACCTGAAGTTGTTTTTAAATTTACACGTTTAACTATCATCACCTCTGTAAAAACATTACATACACCGCCCAGCTAGAATAGGACCTCGGTGAAGGGAGAGTTCTTCAGAGTCTTAATGTTCTCAGGGCCCACCATGGAACTTGGCCCATGGCGAGCATTTAGTTGGATGGTTGAATGCCCAAGACCAGACCGAGTTGTTTGTCCAATTATGATCTTACCTATGTGCAAATATATTTGTTTAGTACTTGATAGCATATAAACCATCTTCACAAACATTATCTTGTTTGATCCTTAAAGCATTCCTTTGAGAAAGGCATTCTTGACCTATTTTATGACTGAGAAAACTCAGATTCAGAGAAGTCAAGTGACTCATCTTGTATCACCCAGCCAATAAATGATAGAGCCAAAACTTCCCCTAGGATCCTACTTTTAAGCCCAGAATTCTTTCAATAGCTATTTCTCTGGAAATATTCTTTGGACCACATTCTTCTAGAATTCTTTTGTGCCAGTTGACACAAGGTAGAGGGGACTGTGTGAATATTTTAACCCAGAGGATTTGGTGCACTTAATTTTTTTTAAATAATGAATATGAATTTATTTTTAGGGAAAAGACAAGTATTCCCCTACCCCCTACCCCCAATTTTTCACACCTAAACTACCTCAGAATCTTCCTACTCCTATTAATCCTCAGTCTCCCATCCCTTCAATAAATACTTCTAGATAAGCACCAATAAACTGATGCTCATAGAACTTGCGTGGACCTTTTAAATCATTCTAACCCAGTCTCTTCTTTTGTATAAGAAGTCCAAGAAGGCGCCACAGGATCAGAGTCTTTGTATGCCTGACTCCAGGCAGAGTCCTGTCTGCTACTCCACAGTGCCTTCTACTGGGATTCATTTCCTTTCCTCCCCATCTATATGAACCCTTCCCAGCTCACATCCCAGTTCTTCATTAAGCCTTTCCAGACCCTTGTGCTTTTTTTCTCTTCCTTTTCTCCGTTTATAATTTTATGCTGGATACCATAGCTTAATTTGTAATTACTTCTGAATGTAACTCTTCTCTTCCTTCTCTCCACAATCTGCTTGGGAGCTTCCTCAGACTGAGACATCTTATATATCCATATCACAACTTCTGCACAAGGAGAAGCACCCCTAGTCCATACTTGTTGATTTATATGATCAATACTAAAAAAAAAAAAATAGGAGCTTCCATCTACATACCCTTAACAGTGGGGAACCAAGGAGAGAAAATTAATAACACTTGGGTATTGGGCCAAGAAATGATTTGAAACAAAAGATAACCAAGCAAAAGCTCTGGTGCTGTCAGCTCTGCGAGTTCAGGGCCCAAGTCTGTCCTGTTATTATTAGGTACTGGTACTGTGCGGGGCCATCGGCAGTGCTGTCAATCAATTATATGCATGGAAGGAGGAAAATAGATTTTCTTTTTTTGTTATTTTATTTTATTTATTTTTGGCTGTGCTGGGTCTTTGTTGCCATGTGGGCTTTCCTCGAGTTGTGGCGAGAGGGGTCTACTCTAGTTGCAGTGTGCAGGCTTCTCGTGATGGATTCTCTTGCTGCAGAACAAAGCTCTTGGGCACATGGGCTTCAGTAGTTGCAGCTCCTGGGCTTTACAGAGCAGGAATAATAGTTGGGGTACACAGCCTTAGTTGCTCCCCGGTATTGGGATCTTCCAGGACCAGGGATCAAACTAGTGTCTCCTGCGTTGGCAGGCAGATTCTTTACCACTGAGCCACCAGGGAAGCCTGGAGAATAAATTTTCATATTCAGTATCATGTCAAAATTCTTTCTAAAAAACTATTTGTGTATTGACCTTACTGTGTGTCAGTCAACACTTTGCTTTAATGCTCTTTCTTATGAGAAACAGGGGAAGAGTTTTATGAACTTTACAAGCTAGAAAATGTTAAGTATACATATTGTTGAGTTTAGAACTAAAAGAGTTTTAGAATTCCCCAGTGGTCCAGTGGTTAAGGCTCCTCACTTCTAGTGCAGGGTGCACAAGTTCAGTCCCTGGTAAGGGAACTAATAATAAGATCCAACATGCCATGCAGCACAACCAAAAAAAATTGTTTTAATTAAAAAAAAAAACTAAAGGGGCTTAACATAGTGAGGAAAGAGAAGAAGAATACTTGAAAAGTAAATTAACCTCAAGAAAACCTTGTTAAATATAGTGACAGTTTGAAAGATCGGATATAAACATAACAAATAATTAAGAGCCCGCTGCCGTGGAAGGAGTGAAGGTGTAAGAAGCCATTTCAGCAGGAGGGCCTACTCGGGGGCCCGAAGGCCAAACACATCTCTGCCCGGGGCTTGAAGCGGACATGGTATTCACAAAGTAGACTAAGTCTCGTTACAGAAAAGGATTCAAGGAGTAGCAATAATTAAAGGACTGAAATATGTTCCCATATGCGATTGATTAGAAAAGGAATCTGGAAAGGATTTCCCTGGAAGTAAGTTAAACAAGTGACATTGTTTTTATAAACAGTGTATATACTACAATGTATAGTCTATACATTGTAGTATATACAGTGTATAGTTTGTACATGCAGTGTATACAGTGTATAGTTCATACATACAGTGTAAACAGTGCATAGTTTGTACATACAGTGTATAGTTTTATCATAGAAAGTTAGAACTAGGAAAGATTTAGAGTATTCTTATCTATGCAGACTGCAGTCCATGGACCACTGGCATCATTACATGAGAGCTTGTGCAAAATGCAGATTCTCAAGCATCTCTCCAGACTTAGTGAACCAGAATCTGCATCTTTAGATCCTCAGAGATCTAAAGGATCCTGTATATCCCTTGTGCTTTCAAGCATGAGTCCCAGGGCTGGCCCAGTCCTCTAGTGCAAACAACAAATGTCTGTATAATATCAGTTGTACATTCAACCCTCCACATGGCAGTATAGAAAATAAAACCCAGCTCCTGCTCACAAGGCAATCAGTCTAGTTTGGGAAAGAACAATAAAAAATAATTGTAATAAGTTATGATGACAGTTCATTCTTTCAACAAATACTTAAAACATGCCTACCTCAGCCCTGGCCCATGGAACTCTTAGTCTAGGGTGGTAGATGTGAAAGAAACGAATAAAAACTAACTTTCTGAAGAGAAAGTAAGAGAATATAATGGGGGTATAAGGCAGATCAGGGAGCAAGGGAAGGTCTCTCTGAGGAAGTGATACTTATTTAAGCTAAAGCCTCAAGGATAAGCAAGAAGTTGGGCAAAACGGAAGTAGTGTTCTTGACAGAAGAATTTACATGACAGGAAGAGGAAATTGGTGTGTGTCTCAGTCTGCTTGGGCTGCCGGAATAAAACACAGACTGAGTACCTTTTTAAACAACAAATTTCCTCACAGTTCTAGAGGCTAGAATCCCCATGTTAAGGTGCCGACACCTTGGTTTCTCGTGAGGACACTTCCTGGTTTGCAGAAGGGCCAGCTCCTTGCTCTGTGCTCGCACGGCGTTTCCCTGGGTACGTGTGCATGGGTGTGTGCAGAGAGGGAGCTCTGACGTCTCTCACCCTTCTTATAAGGGCATCAGCCTTGTCAGATTAGAGTCCCACCCTTCATGATCTCATTTAACCTCTATCACTTCGTAAAGAGCCTGTCTCCAAATGCAATCACGTTGAGGGTCAAGACTTAAACATATGAATTTTGGAAGCACATAAACATTCAGTCCAAAACTCTATATTTCACTTAACTGAGAGGTCACTTGTGGCTGAGATGCAGGGAAGAAAGCCACTGGTGAGTAAGTAGGGGCCTATAGTAAGTATTTTAAATTGTATCCAAAGCAAGTAGGAAGTGACCTTCTCTGGTCACTTTTAAGGTCACTCTTGTATGAACAAATACAAGCAGAGAAAACCAATTAGGAGGCTATTGCAGTAACCCAGATAGGAGGTGGTGATGGCCTGGAATGGAGATAGGAGATGTAAAGAGGTAGATAGAGTTGAGATCTTTGTAAATACAATAGAAGTGACTTGACAATAGATGAGACCTGAAGAGTAAAGAA